GAACCCAGGGCTTCATACATGCAAGGCAAGCGCTCTACCACTGAGCCACCTTCCCAGCCCCCCTCTGCCTACTTTATTAGATATGAGAATAGCTACTTCTGGTTACTTCAGGATCCATTTGCTTGCAAGACTTTTTTTTTTTTTTGCCAGCCTTTCTGTTTAAGCAAGCATTTTTTTGTTTTGTTTTTGTTGTTGTTGTCCAATAGATGTGTTTCTTGTAGACACGAGTTGGTCAGATCTTGCTTTTAGATTTAACTCATCCTTCCATGCTTTTTGTTTGAAGAACTGAATGTGAAAATTAAAAGGAATGTAGCAATGCCGGGTTCCCCCCCCTTCTTCTTCCAATTTTAGTGTTAGGTTCTTTTCTCCTTCTCCTGTGTTCATCTACTTTTCTGGTAGGCTTTTCCTCCCCCAGTTTTTCAAGTTTATGTTAATGTTCTCTTCTGTGTACAGGATGTCTTTCTGTATCTTCTGGAGTGCTACTTCAGTGATGATAAATTATTTTAGTTGTTTTTCTTTATCATAGAATGTTTTTATTTGTTCTGCTGGATGAGGATGAGTATTGAGTGGGCAGTTGATAACTTTTAACAAAATACCTAATTTCCATCCCTTTCTTTTAAGGTGTTTGTTGAGAAATTTGGTGTTATTCAGAAGAATGCCAAATTGTAAGTGACATGCTTTTCCTTCTGGCAGTTTTCAGTATCTTTATTCTCTGTACTTAAACATCATGGAGGGATATTTTCCTGCTCCAGTCTGCTGGGTTTTCTAAAAGCCTCCTGTACCAGGATGGGCTCCTCTTTTTCAATTTTAGGAATGTTTTTGGCTAGTTCTCTGTTGACTATGTTTCCTATACCTTTAGTTATCTCCTGTTCACTCCATTATTCCCATGTTTAGTCTATTAAACAATCTTGAAATTCTTGCAGATTCAGTTCATATTTCCTTGATCTTTATTCCACATTTTATTCTGTTCTTTCTACTATATAACTAATCCATCTTCAAGCCCAGAAATTCTGTCGTCCTTTTCATCTACTTTCTTGGAGAATTTCCTTATCTTTCATCTCCAGGCTTAAATTTGACAGGATTTCTATCTCTTTCTTGAAACCTTTTTTCATGTCTTGCACTGACTTCCCTGCTTCATTAATGGGTTTATCTAAGTCTTTTTTTTTTTTTTTTTGGTCAGTCCTGGGGCCTGAACTCTGGGCCTGGGTGCTGCCCCTCAGCTCTTCAGCTCAAGGCGAGCCCTCTACCACTTGAGCCACAGCGCCACTTCCGGCTTTTTCTGCTTATGTGGTGCTGAGGAAAGGAACTCAGGGCCTCATGCATGCAAGGCAAGCGCTCTACCACTGAGCCACCCTCCAGCCCCTCTATGGCTTCTTTAGTGTCTTTTAGCTGTATTCTCTTTGTGCTCGTTAGCTGTTTATCTTCACTTGATATTCATTTGGCATTTTACCTGCCTCTTTGAATTCATTTATTTGTTTGTAAATGCAATTTGTTGATTTCATTAAACATTCTTATCATTCCTTTGGGTTTTGTCTATGGAGTTTCTTCCATTTCACTGTCATTCTGATCCCTTGTTGTTGTTCACTTGTTGATTTTGGAGATGTTGATTTCTCATATTGCAGTGTTGGAATTGACTCTATGCAACACAAAGTGTGGGTTTTTTTGTCATCTA